AAATCGACCAATCACGATCAAAATTACGATCTCGCGTTTAAAAACGCTTGACTGTGATTGGCCGATTTGCTTACGGCCTTACGATTACGACTAAAATTTTTATACATGTGATGACCTTAAAGGTAGCAAGATTCGAGATGGTTTTAAGCTAGCGCATGAACCAATCAGAGAACCGTATTAGCATCTTAAGGGTGCCGTCACATACAACCCGTAATCCGCACCGGATGTCTGCAAAAATTACTAGATATGCGTCCGTAACGTTACGTGTGTTTTACCTCCTTATATCCCATGAAGCCGTAATCCCATGAAATTTCCGTAAAAATTACTAGTTATTACCAGTTAAGCCTGATTTATAATGGCTGTAACCGTTAACTTATGCCGGTGCCGGTAAAGTTCAATCATAGGATTTCAATGGGTGCATTCAGTACCACGACCGCTCACTGAGCGCTCAGTGAGCTCTTGTATCTGTTTGGTCTATATTTTTAGTTCTAACGGAATATGCCAATCAGATGCAAGAGTTCACTGAGCGCTCAGTGAGCGGTTGTAGTACTGAATGCACCCATTGAAATCCTATGGTTGAACTTTACTGGCACCGGCATAAGTTAACGGTTACGGCCATTTTGTTATAATCAAAATATATTTTGTAATTTTCTTATAAAATAAAATAAAAATGAACAGTATAACTTCTTAAATAAAAAATATTACATTTATACGTCCGCATTTTGCGGCTCCATGGGACACAAGGAGCATGTAAGCACGTAACGCAATTGCACTCCGACGTCAAACAAAAATAAACCATAACCTACCTTTAATTTATAAATAGTGATTAAATTGTTGTCAAACAAATTAATGTCAAACAAAATAATTATCAAACAAAGGCCATGGCCTAATTTACATCGTGAACTTGATACGCGTATCAGGTACTATATTCGTATCAAATTCGTACTAAACATTTAGTACGTACGATGTAAACGCTGTCGGATTATTTTGATACGAGCGTATCAAGCAAGAGTATCGTATTAAACTGATACGCGTATCAAATGATACAAATAACGATGTAAACTGATGTAAACTAAGCCAGACTAAGCTGGTACGCGTATCAAATAGTAATAGAATCAAATAGTCTAATAGAATCAAATAATAATAGAATCTCAACGTGCTGTAAACGTTTGGTTCGTTTTGGATCATATATTAAAATTCGCCACTACTTTTAAGTTCAGATTAAAATTAGAATTAGAGGTTTTATATCTGGAAAAGCAGTGAAGACATCAAGTCACCTAACCTGATCTGTTTTGAGACAGATCAATGTAAATAAGAACGTATCAAATATTTAATCAACACCAATTTGATTCACGTACTAACCGATTTAACGGTGTAAAAGGAGTCAGTATCAAGCTCTTTTTTGATTTTTATATTAAAATGTCTTGTAAAAAAAGGCTTGGCGCCTTGCTTTTATCATGTCCATCATGTGTCTTCTGCAAATACATTGTAAATTTTTAAATATAAAAAATTTGACAAAACTTTCTTGTGCAATATTATGCATTTTCTCAAAATATATTATAATATATTATAATGTATTATTTTTCTCCTCTACATCGTGAAAATATAGTA